AGCTGAATGGATCAAGAGACAAGATCCAATGTTATATGTAAGAAAGGTTTAACAGAAAGAGAAATTTATGGACTGAAAGTCAAAAAACTGGAAAATAATATTCTGCATAAGAAGAAGCCAGATAAAACTGAGGGTGGTGTTTCTATATGCAGACAAAGTGAACTTCAAATTTAGAATGATCAATAGTGATAAAGAATGTCATTACACACTTGTTAAGGGATAACATTAAGAAGAAGTGATAACATGATTTATATACATGCACCAGATACAGGTGCACTTAAATATATACAGCAAATATTAATAGGTATGAAAAATCAAATAAACACTAAACAATCGTAATAGAGTACCTTAATACTCCACTGTCAAAAATAGAATAACTAGACAAAAATCAGCAGAAAAATATAGGAACTGAACCAAACTTGTGAACAAAAGGACTTAATACATGTTGGATCTCTACCAAACAACATGAGAATACATATTTTTCTCAGCTGTGCATGGGACTTTCTCTAAAATAGACCACATGCTAGTCCATACAATATGCTTAAAGAAATGCAAAAGAATTGAAATTATCCCATGAATATTATCTGATCATAGCGCAATGAAATTGGAACTCAATAGCAAAAGAAACCACAAAATCTCTATGAACAAATGAAATTAAATAACTCTCTGCTGAGCAAACAATGGGTCACAGATGAATTAAAGAAGTTAAAGAAGAAATTAAATATCTATAATTAAATGAAATTCACAATAAAATGCCAGAACTTATACGACATAAGAGCAGTCCTAAAACGTATAGCAGAAATTTATAAAGATGAATTCTCGTATCAGAAAAAGAGTGAGATGAAATAAAAATCCTAGTGTTGCAACACAAGCTTTCAGAAGAAGAACAAGTCAAGCCAAAAGCTTGTGTGAGGGAATAATTTATAGAAACCAGATCATAAATTAATGCAATTGAGATAAGAAAATAATACAAAGAGCAATTAATCAAAAATCATTGAAAGATCAAATAAAATTATAAAGCCTAAATCAACTGTATTAAAAAACAAAGAAAGAAAAGATTCACACAATTAAGAATAAAAAAGGTAAAATCACTATGGATTCTGTGGAAATTCAGAAGATTATCAATACCTACTTTAAGAATCTTTATTTTAATAAGACAGAATGTACAGAAGAAATAGATGATTGAAATAGATGGTATTTATCCCAATATGATAATAGCCATCAATGAAAAACCAACAGTCAGCATCATACTAACTTGTCAAAAACTGAAAGCTTTCACTCTAAAATCAAGGATGTCCATTATTGCTACTCCTACTTAATGTAGTTCTAATAACATTACCCAGAGCAGTTAGACAAGAGAAGTAATAAAGACAGGAAAGGAAGAAATCAAATTATTATTATTTGCAAATGAAAAAATAGCCTACGTAGAAGACCCTCAAAACTCCCCCATAAGACTTCTAGTTGTAATACATAAATTCAATAGTATGGCTGGATATACTGTTAACATTTAAAAATCAATAGTATTCCGGTACATAAATAACAAAACCACCAAAGTTGAAATTTGGAAAATAATGTCTCACATAATAGCATCAAAAAAGAAAGAAGGAATCAATATAATAAGGGAAGTAAATGATCTCTACAGAGAAAACTACAATATTCTGAAAATGGGTATCGAAGAGGATATCAGAAAGTTGAAAGATATCCCTTGCTCTTGTATAGCAAACACTATAGTGAAAATGGCTGTATTCCCAAAGGGGTTATACAGATTTAACACAATACTAACCAAAATACTATTAGTGTACCTCACACAATTAGAGAAAATAATCCATAAATTCATTCAGATCAGAAAGAGACCTGAAATGACACAAGCAATTCTGGATTACAAATACAAGGCAAGGGACATTACAATCTATGACTTTAGTTACACTAAAGAGCTACTGTTATAAAAACAACATGGTAGCAAAAAATCAGACCAGAGATCAATGGAATCAGTTAGAAGATATAGAAACAACTCCAAATACATCTAGCCACCTTATCTTTGAGAAAGATGCCTAATACTTTCACTGGAAGAAATAGAGCCTCTTTAAGAAATGTTGCTGGAAAAATGGGCTTCCAACATGGCAAACAATAAAACTAGGTTCATGCCTATCACCATGAATAAAATAGAATCAAAATCAGTCAACTCTAAATATTAATAGAGAAACAAAATCTGTTGAAAAGGTGAATAGGTAGAACACTTGAAGACACTGATGTAAGCAAGGACTTCATGAACAAACCGCAGATTTCATGGAAAGAATCTATGACTGGAACCTCATCTTATTAAAAAGCATTAGAACAACAAAAGAAATCACCAACAGAGTGAGCAGACAACTCACAGATAGGAAAACATTTTAGCCAGGTTCTCCTAAAAGGATTAATATCTAGAACATAGGAAGAACTGAAAACCAATTCAATTCCCTGGATTGAAAGACACAATTAAAAAATGGCATCTGAGATGAACACACATTTCTCAGATGAAGTTTAAATGGCAAATAAATACATGAAAAAGATATTCAACATCACTTGTCATTTGAGAGATGCAATTTAAAACAATGCTGAGATTCCATCTAATCTAGAAAGAATAGTTCTTATCAAAAGTCAACCAGTAACAAATGCTCCAAGAATGTGGGGAAATGGGAATATTTCTCCACTTTTGATGGGTGTAGACTGATTTAACCACAGTGGAAATCACTATGGAGATTCCTCAAAATACTATGGCTAGAGGTCTCATTTATCCAGCTATTCTCCTCTTCGGTATCTTCCCAAAAGAATTAAAAGCATCATACCACAGTGACATATGTGTACCTATGTATATGGTGGCACAGTTTGCAATAGCTACATCTTGAAATCAACCCAAATGCCAATCAAAAAATGAACAGATAAAAAAGACTTTTAATATAATGAAGTGCTATTCAGTCATAAAGACAGATAAACTTTAGATATTTATTGCTAAATGAATGCACTTTGAGACCATACTCTTAAGTGAAATAAATGGGACACACATGTATAAATATTGTATTTTGTTTTAGTGTAGTAAACTAAAAGCACAGATAACAATCAAATTATACAATAGGTATTGTGAAATAAGAAGTAATTCTTGAAAAGGAAAGGATAATTAGGGAGGTGGAAAGTTTAGGAAAAAATGAAAAAGAAAAAAAATGAGAAAAGAAGGATAAAATGGGAACCAAAGTTTTCAAATAAGGAGGGAGAGAGGGATTGAAGAGAGGGGAAGACATTTGGAGGGAAAAACAAGACAGATTAAGCAATGTCACATCCAGGTACAAATATACATAAATTGTATCATAAACAATAAATAAAACAATCACTCTAAATACTGAACACATTTTTCAACAGATACAGCAACAAGCATATCATTCTTAACTACAGAATACTGACAACTTGACGTAATTGTATTAAACATTTGTGTTTGATGGGAGAGTGCTACAATTCAGTGTGAGGAGTAAAATGCTATAGACTACAGTGCTTTGTGCTGAATGGCAGGAAGTGTTAATTTTATTCTATGCCTATGAGAGTTAAGAAGTAGTTTTATTTTCCTCAGTTTTCACTATATTTATGCAGTGCTCTTATCAATATTTGTTCTTCGAGTCTATTAATTATATTTTATTATTCATTTAATCAAACATATATCTTGTTTTTGAGTTTTCCTTCTCTGTGGTAGTCTTCTTAGTTTTTACTTCTTAATGACTTATGAATATATTATCTGAGCTCACAAATGATAGAAATTTTAAAGTGTATTTTAATATAATTACTCACCCCTGAATGATTTTTTTTACTGTAATTTCTTTGATTCATCTGGAATCCCACGAAGGATTTACATGGCTTCTCAGATTCTGTAGTCACTTAGAATCTATGAGATATTTTACTGAAGACGTACACGATGAGATACATTTAAATTTTTGCTATGAATGAAGCATTACGATGCTTTGCAATTATGCTATAAGTGAACATTGTACCTCCAGAATTATCAAGTGGATTTGTAATATTATTTCCAAGCTGTGTATGTTGGGACTGATTTTAGTTATTTAATTACCATGGGTTAATTTTCTACGTCTCTCAAACTGGTCTGCTAATATTTTGCCTTCTACTCGTAGCTAGGATTGTATACTGAAGCTAGTACTCATAAAATGCTTATTCCACAGTCTTATTCTATGCTGGAAACACAGGGCTGCAGGCAAGCAAGTTGCTTTTCCTGTTTTTCCAGTCATTTGTTTAGCCTGAGCTCCATGTACATCAGCATTATTTTATAATATACTTAGTTTTATAATACTTTATTGATGCATAGTCACTAACTGTAATCACCGCATACATTTTGAGGAACTGGTGTGTATAGATACCATATCTTAATCAAATTTATTTCCTTTTCCCAATTTGGCTCTCTGTTCTGCCATCTTCTAATCTCCTTCCTATAACATAAAATCTAAAAATGCTCCTCCCACCATCAACAAGAGTCCTCTCAACTCCATTATAAACTAATACATCTGCCTGAAATGGTTTTTCTTTTTCTTCTTTTATTTAATTACATTCTTCAGAAAGATTTTTTCCTTCAAGTGTCACATTACAATTACTTGGTTCAAACCTGGTTCAGAGGTCTCTATCACAGCATTTATCTTATTTTATGACCATATACTTACATACCTTTCACCTATAATTCTGCAGTTCTTGAGAAGTACCTTTTTCTTATTCTTATACACAACCCTAAAACTTCGTAAATAATCTGAAACATTTTGGGGAATAGGACTAAGTAATTACTTTTCCTCCTTTTTAACAATTACTGTAGACATAATTATTGCATTCCTTTTTCTTCTAAAAGGATAAAGGTGACTCATATATAAAATTTTTAATTTGAATTGATCAAGTTAAGTGTTACATATTTATATTTGTGTAAATATCTTTGAATTCAGAATTTGAATTCTAAGACCATTTGTAAATTTTGTTTTGAGGCTTTATTCATCGAGTTTCTGGGATTTTACCATTTTGCTGATTTAACTGTGCTAGCTTCGTCCTTTGGAGAAGTCCCACCAACTTCAGATGAAAATGTCACTGTGACTGAGACAACATTTGATAATGTTCCTGTGCGTGTATATGTACCGAAGAGGAAAGTGGATGCACAAAGAAGGGCTGTGTTTTATATTCATGGTGGTGGTTGGTGTTCTGGAAGCCCTGGTAGGTGAATTCTTTGAAAGACATCTGACCCTGGAGTACTTTGCGAATGTATTACTAAGGCCACGTACTGTGCCATTTAGCAAGGTCACTGCAGTATTTTTTCATCTCTCGCTTTGATCCCTGGCAAGTTTTAATGTACTTTGAAGCTTCAAATCACTATTTCTCATCCATATATAATTTTCTTTATTAGGTCAGGTAATGCTAAGAAAGCACAGGTCTTCCTATTATTGAGTTCTTTATGAACACATAAGCACTATTTTAATCATTTGGTTTTATAGACCTTAGTAACACGTTAATTAATTTATTTATATACTCATTGTGTGCCTACATTTCTTCTAGGAATTTGTAGGAATCTTTGAACAGGAAAAAACTCTTTTTGGGTCTTAAATTTTAATGGAAAGATCTCTAAATAATGGATACATCAGTGAAAAATATAGAGTATCACGAAATGACAAATGCACAGAATAACAGGTTAGAGTAATCAAGATTGTGTACAAAGGTTGCAGTCCTTAGATGTACAGAATTTAGTGAAAAGAAGAGAGTACATAAGGAAGTGGAAAATAGGGATAAAGACCTTGGGTTCAGTAATATGACTGAGAAATGTTGCTTAACTGATTCTAGTTGTGGAATATACTTGCAGAGTACACTTGCAGATTGTAGTTGCGGAGTTGGAAGTGCATGCTTGGTATGAACTGCTTACTGCCAGTTAATGAAATATAAATTTAGGGAAAGGAAGAAGGGAAGCATAATTAGCTCAGAGAAGAAATGTTACAGGCTTAAAATTAATTGCAATTTGTCAAATGATATGAGAAATTAGGAGAAGAAAGTGAGGAGGAAAAGAAGAGAGACAGAGGAGGTAATTTTCCTGTTTCTGAAAGTGTGACTGGGAAAATGAGGACAGATTCTAGGGAAACTCAAAGGTGTATTTTGGGAGGGAGAATAAGCAATGAGCAAAGCATTAAAAAGTGATCAAAGAGGTTAGGTCATAAAATGAAAATAAGCCAAAGGTGATGCTGAAGAAACCCAGAAAAACTGAAAGGAAGACATCCTCAACTGAGGACCGGCAGTCAAGCTATTTATTATACTGCTAGACCAGTGGGAAGACAGTTCCACTGCAGACTTTTTTTCTCTTTTGTACCAGGAATCAAACTCATGACCTTGCGCTTGTCAGTCAGGCACACCACTGAGCTAACTCTCTGCCCCGGGAAGACAGTTCCAAATCCCCTGCCATGCGTAAGCTTTGGGGTTTGGTTATGTAGGGTTTGCAAGCAGGATGTACAAAAAAAAAAAAAAATAGTTCAGCGTTTCATGTTCATAAGGCTGAGAACAGACTTGATCAATATTCACATTAAAAACACATTCCAGTCAACAAAAAGTAAGAGATAAAGAAATTAGCAAATGATTTCCGGGTAAAGCAGATTTAGAAGAATGATTTCTAAAGTTACACTTAGTTGTAAAACAAATAAGTAAGAAAATGATAGATTAAAAGGAGAATTAAATAAAAGCACTTTGTTTGGTCTTTATGTGGAAGAGAAGTAAAAAGGTAGTAAATTCCCTGGAGGGATGTGGCAGGAGGTGTACAAGTTTGAGCCCAGTTCAGACTGTTTAGCAACTTAGTAAACCTTTTATATTTTTTAAAATAAAATAATTTTCAAACACAAAGAAACAGAACAAAATCAATCAAAGAATGAAAGTATTATAAGACTATAAAACAAAATAACATGAAATCAACTATGGCTATCATAATGTGTCTCATTTTCTTCAAAATAGCTCCAAACAATACAAAACAGACTAACGTCAGTACACACAACAGAATGAGAGCATTACGGGACTTCAAAACAAGTCCTGTTCTGATTTGCTTTTTTCCTTTTTGTTTTGTTTTATTCTTTTTAAAATAAAAGATAAAATATATTTAAAAATAATTTTAAAAGAACTAGGATATACAATACAAAGACTGGTTTCAATCTTCAGTGCAAAGACTGGTTTCAGTAAAAACACTGGTTTCAGTCTTCATTACAAAATAAGGTGAGTGGAATTAAAATTGAATGGCATGCAGAGGATAACAGGTTGTTGACTAATGAAGAAATAACGCAGAGAAAATCGATGCAGAGGACAAAGGTTAGAGCACTGATAAATTAATTAGATGTGGATGGGAGGAAAAAGACAAAAAGATGCATAGTTTTCTTCCTAGACAGGAATAAAGAGAGACAAACCAGACCTCAGCAGGACAGATACAACAGAAAATGAGAGAATTCCAGCTTTTTAAGGCAGCACCTTTCTATCCAGCTTATTTTCAGGTGATTTTTTTCCCATACAGATACTGATGGTTCAATACGATCCAAAATCTGTTTTGTCACATATCTATCCACACATGCATCCAATTAGAGGCTTCTCTTTTTTAAATCTGTGTATATACAACATGTAAAATAAACAAATCAATAGTGTCAGTGTAATGGGAGCTGGGATCAGTCTTCCGGAGAATGCTGCTGGCTAAGAAGGACAAATGACAAAATGATGAAGAAAAGAAGCATAAGGAAAGAAGAGCAATTAGAAAGTTCAGTGAGAAATCACAACTGGTTACAAGAGTAAGTTTTCTTAGGATAAGTACAACATTAAATTTTTCTTTCTGAAATTTTGGTATACAGTAGGTAGAGGATTTCCAGAATCTAAAACAAGCACATTCAATTTTTTGCTTAAAAATCCTCTTCTATGTGAATTCTCACTAACATCTGGCTTTAATTCTTTCATTTAAGCTTTATATAGTTATGACTTGCTCTCGAGATGGACTGCAGAGAGACTGGATGCTGTTGTCATATCAATTGAGTAAGACATGTGTTGTTTTATTTTGTGTCTAAATATCTTAACTACCAGAGTTCCCTCTGCTGTCTTGAATGACTGATGAATGATTTGTCGAACACAAATATTTCTCAGTTCAGGTTGACGTAATTAAGGAAAAGGTTAGGTCTACCCTGAGTAGAACTGAGAAAAATAAGTGTGTGTGTGTGTGTGTGTGTGTGTGTGTGTGTGTGTGCATGCGTGTGTGTGTGTGTGTGTGTGTGTGTGTGTGTGCCTATGAATAGGCTGGTGTGTATTAGCTGAGCATGCAGAAAAAAATGACTATAAAGTTTTTCTTACATAAGCTTAAATTGAATTATCATTGTGCATACTTCATTGGTTTAGATTACTTTTTAACTATATCTTTAAGGTTAAAGTTCTTGTAGTCAGAAGATTATCTATAAAAGCACAATATAAATTATTGACACATTAGATGGTCACTTTAAAAACAAAGTGGTAATATTCTTGAAACCGGTTTATCTTATTGTCTATCCCTTAATGAAATAACACTTTAAATTTTATTCTCACATTTAACAAAGTCAAGGAATTAGAGTAAATAATGTTTTAGATCAATAATCTAAGTTTGAAACATAATTATGCTTAATATTTGCTTGTAATTAATTTTTGGTAAATGAAGTAATTAGAATGACATCTTTTAAAAAATTAGAAGAATCTTTTTTGCATGATGATTTGTATTTCAACTTTAGTTTCATTATAACATATCAAATGAAACTGTAAGACATACATTTGTAATTGATTCATTGAAATGATTAATTTCTATAGGTATAAAGGTAAAATATTTAAGTTTTGAGCAAGTTCATGCCTTTCCTTTGAATATATATTTATTTTATCTGTTTTAAAGATAAACGAGAAGTCTCAGTGCAAAGTGGATGGTTTTGTTTGTTATAATTAAAATGAACAATATGCACAGGAGATTTTGCTAAACATCAGAAGTCATAGGAAAATGAAAAACAAAACTACTTCACATTTCCTAAAATAACTACAATTTTAAAAAAAACTACAAATTATGGCAAGAATAAGAAAAAATGAATCCCAACCCCCATATCACTGGTGGGAATGTAAAATGGCTTAGGCACTGTGGAGAAGTGCAGGTGACAGTATTTCCAGTCCTAGGTGCTTATACAAGGCCAATTAAACTGTATCCATAAAGTATTTTATTTGTAGCAGCATTATTCATAAAATATCTGCAGTAGAAACAACTTAATGTTTGTCAACAGACGCATGGAAAACTAAAATGTCATAAATCCACACAATTGAATGTTGCTTATTACTAAAAAGTGATACTACCACTAAAACATGCGTAAATCTTAAACATGTTATTTTATGTGAAGGAAGCCAGTTTCAGGGCAACACATTGTATGGCTTCATTTTTATGAACCATTTGGTTAGGAGATTTTTCAGAATCAGATTAATGGATACAGCAGTATGGTAACTGATGGAACAGAAAGTACTAAATATCTGTCAAGGGGTACAGTGCTGTTTTTTTGATTATTAGTCTTTTTGAGTGGATACATGTTCTCAGACTGATTGTGGCGATCACTGCAAAGCTTATAAGTATATTAAAAACTCCTGAATTATATTCCTCAAGTAATTTTATGGCATATAAATTATATCTCGATAAAGTGCTTGCATTAAAATTAAGGCTTAATGTCAACTAGGAAAATTAGTCATGAAATATCTGTGTATATATGTATAAGTACAGAAATACAAATATATTTTTCTTATTCAAAATATAGAACCCCTATGGATTACTGAAATAGAGAAGAAAGACTTTACAGAACAAAATATTCAAATTGTAATAAATATGTGAACATTTAGTATATACCAAGAAAATATAAATCAAATGCTCTACGTGATACCTCCATACTTAATAATATGGCCAAAGTGAAAAAGGTCTAAAACATCAAAATTTGGTAAGAATAAAAAGTGTTTTTAATCTGATAGTTAAGGAAAACCAGATTTCAAATCTTTTTGATACTACTAAAACTACACTTTTTTTATTTTAAAGAAAATAAAGCCTAACAATACAAAACAAAATAGTCAATCAAAACAAAATTATAGTATATAGTATATATATACTAGAATGCAGTACATGACTTAAAAACAAAATACAACATCAACAATGACTACCATAATGCCTCTCACTATTATCAAAACAATTGCCCATATCATCAGGCATAATAAAACTGAATAAAACAGGACAAAAACCAATAAAAACAAAACATAGGAGACATTCTGGGACTTTAAAAGAAGATAATAGTTAAAACTACACATATAACACTGCTCACATCAATGGCACAGGCAAATATACATGGTTACCAAATGCTAGATACCAGAATATCTTTAACAACGATTTGTGGAAAGCCTATATTGAAAGCAAATCAACTCACATGGCTTTTAAAAATTGGATTATATTACCTGTTACCTATTTACTGTTGATTGGTTGATTTTGATAAGAACACACAAAATCTACTTCCAAATCAATTTTAAATGCACACATGTCATTGCTGACTTTATTACAATATTGTAAAGCAGATGTCTAGAGAGTATTCATTTTACTTGATTGAACCCACTAATTATTAATTGCTCTCTTGTCACTCTCAGTAGTTTTATTTTTGGTTCTTTGAATTCAACTATTTTAGATAACTCATCTCACTGAAGTCATTCACCTTTTGAATGAGCAATATGTGGTGTAATTCACACTGAAAGGCAGAAACATGCAGAAATGCACATGACGTCCAAATCTATGGTGTTGAACAACCACACCCAAGGGTAGAGACGCACATGCCATTGAAGTTTATTTATTTTAAGGGCAAAAATACACAAGATATTTGATGCTGCTAAATTATGTTAGTGGATGCTTCAAGAGTTGAAGAGAATAAATTGAAGACCTCTGTGTGCAGGCAAGGTTCATTTTCATGATTTGTGGTTATGTGGGTACATTTAGCTCTAATTCAAAATCTGTATTTTTGGCAGGTGTATTAATCTTTTTGAAGAAATTGACAAGAAAACCATGTTTTCTCTCCACAGCTACAGGTTAGCACCTAAATATCATTTCCCAGTCCAATTCGAAGATACATATAATGCTTTAAGGTGGTTCTTACGTAAAAATGTTCTTGAAAATTATGGTGTAAACCCTGAGAGAATCTGTGTTTCTGGAGACAGTGCAGGTGGAAATTTAGCTGCAGCAGTGACTCAACAGGTAGGATAGTCATCATTTCTGTTTTTTAAAATTGTCTACTTGTAAGCAGCTAAACAGTAAAATATAAAAATGGCAACATCTAACATATTAAAGGCAATACCACTAAAATGGCTATTACATTTAACTGTAAGTTCCTGCCCTTGTGACAGTTTCTTTTACTTTCTTAAGAAGATAACAGTAATATGAGAACACTGAGTTAAACTATGCTACATGTTAGTGAAATCCACTAGTCAAATGAACAAAAACAGAAACTGACTTTTAACCTTTTTGGAGATTGAGATGTAGTCAATGATCATCTGTGGAGTAGCACTCCATTATCAAAAATGATCTGACTGGTTTGAGAAAATTATCAGCCCATTCAAAAATCCTATATTATTTCAAGGAAGATGGGAAATTGGAAAACTTATATTGTCTTGAGATACAGGTTCTTATAAATGTCTTCTTGACCAGTGCATTCAGTCTCTCTAAGCATTCATTTCCTCATCTACAAAGAAAAATAAATGTTTTAAACTCACACAGTTGTTTGAAGGCCACGTGTATATTTAAAAAATCTGATAGCATGATGTGACCTTTATGAATACTTTCAAAATATTCAAAATAATCTAGTTTGAAAATCATAATTAGAATGCAGATAGGTCCCCAAAATTTTGGACTATATTCTGAACCTGTAGTTTTATATAGAAAATATATATATATATATATATATATATATATATATATATATGATTTTATTTAGCATAATTGCAATTAGAAAACAAACAAAATCACATGTTAAGGTATATAGTCTCAAAACTTGACATGGTATTTAAGAAATATAGATCACTTTCATTTAACTCTAGTATTCGTGTATTCTGCTTTTCTGACCATTGATCTTTACAAATATGAACGTATTGAACCTGATATTAAAGAATAGTTTTCATGGAATATCTCACAAAGAAAGACTTCCCCAATTCTACAACAGCATGTCACTTTGGGATCAAAGCAAAGCCAGAAATACATCAGGGAATTTTTTTCTTGAAGTCAAAACTTATACTAGTTTATTTTAATATACTTCTATACTAACAGAAAAGTAATACGTTTAAATTTATACTTCTGTATGTCATTGCTCTGTATGTCTTTCTTAGTTGGTAAGTTATGACATAAATTAATAATTATTACTTCAATCTTTTTTCAATATCCTCAAAGGATATAGTGCAGATGATTTTCCTTAAGTCAAGCATATGCATACATAAGGAACATTTTGCTCTAGAATGTCCTTTAAACTCTTCAAATTTTGTTGAAATGAGTGATATATTTTAATTTTTAAGTCTTTTTGAGGTGCTGAATTTATACACGGACTACCTTACTGAAGCTGTTTTATTGTTTTCAAAAGAAATAATTTGTGCAAATCATCTTAACTCCTCTTTAGCTTGTTCGTGACCCAGAAGTGAAGACCAAACTCAAGATCCAGGCTTTAATATATCCTGCACTTCAACCTCTTGATTTAGATTTACCATCTTTTCGAGAAAATGCACATATGCCAATTCTGTCTAAGTCCCTCTTGGTCAGGTTCTGGAGTGAATATTTTACAACGGACAGGTCACTTGAAAAAGCCATGCTTTCCAATCAATATGTACCTGAAGAATCAAGTCCTCTCTTCAAGTTTGTTAACTGGAGTTCCCTGCTCCCAGAGAGGTTTAGAAAAGGACATGTTTATAGCAACCCAACTTATGGTAGTTCTGAGTTATCTCAAAAATATCCTGGATTCTTAGATGTGAGGGCAGCTCCTCTGTTGGCAGATGACAGCGAGTTGCGTAGTTTACCCCTGACGTATGTCCTTACTTGTCAGTATGACGTTTTGAGAGATGACGGACTCATGTATGTCACCCGACTTCGGAATGCTGGAGTTCAAGTGGCCCATAATCATGTCGAGGACGGATTCCATGGAGCAATTTCCTTTCTGCAACTTAAAATTAGTCATAAGCTGATAAATCACTATATAAGTTGGCTAAATCAAAATCTATAGCAAAACACATATTCCTGATATATTTTAAATGCAATAAATATGAAAGCATCATAATATTCACATGGAATTACATGGGTGTATTTTGGAAAGGTCTATTGAAGTTCTACATGTAGTATAATAATTCATGCTATAAATATCTTCTGCCCTTTTTGTTACTCAGAATGATTTCATTCAACATTTCTCAATGTAAGTATCCTATGCCTGCCAACCTCTTTGTATATTGTAAAATTTATTTTTTTACATGGGTGTGTGTATGGTACTGGGGTTTGAACTCATGACCTAACACTTGCCAGGCAGGCCCAAATTTTACTTTTTAAAACACTTCTTTGTACAATATCTTTTCTGTGTTGGCAACCACTCATAACTGAAAGAAGAGAAATATAAGAAAGATTGTGTATCCTTGTAGTATCAACATCCTAGTCAATGCATGGGATTTGAAACACGCCTACTAACTGATACTGATTGAATCCCAAGTCTTTGCAAAAATAGTTTTCACAAGACCATCCTAAATTATTACATCTGTAATTCTTTTTCCTTTGAAGAACTTTTGTAACCCAAGTAACAAGAATTATACTGTTTAGTACTTATGATCACCAGAGGAATTAGCTGCTTTGTATTTGGGGAATGTAAAGAAATTGAAGCTCAATGATGTCTGAAGTGGTCTTTAGGATAGAAAATACTAGCAGCCACAGAATACACAAGTGGAACTAACTGATTTGCAATAAGACAAAAATCATAAAAGTTTAATTTGTGAAAATGCTCTTTTAACAATGCAGAGTAAAAATAAAATAGCTTATACTTAAGACCCAACCTGAATATTTGTATTTACCATGATTTATGTAATGCTTCAGAATCACAAAGAAACCTATGAACAGGCATTCCTCAATTGGTAGTGAAGTTCTATCCATGTGGTTTCCTAGTACTCAGCCATCTTTTCTCTTTGTTTACTATTCTTCCTATCTATTTTTTTATTTGCAGTCATGGTTTTTTTTAGTACAATCTATACATATATAATCTAGATCAAGATGGAATGAGAAAAGCATTACATTTGAGGTCATTCTATTTTATTAAGAAAATAGTAGTAATCCCAGAAACTCTAAAAGCAATAAATTCCCTATAAGCAGTTGCTAGAATCATGTTGTGGGATATTTCTCAAAATAGACATTTTTCACATGAGAAAATTACATTTTCTTTTACTAAGAAACAAAATAATGCTAAACAATACTAAACAATAAGCAGATGATGCCACACATAGCTGTAGAAATATCATTATATAACAATAATATGATAAATATTTTTCTGGAAAACATGTAAATACACTGAGTTAATAGTAAATACAAAGATTAGACATTATATATATATATATATATATATATATATATATATATAGTCTCCAGCAGTTTTTTCTATGCATTATCTATGAGGATAAAATGTTTTTATTTCTGTGCATAAATTCTTACATTAATCTATGGCTGACAATTGCTATTGTTTTACTTAACTTTCCTTCAAAGATAGTAAAATGTGTCACTAACATGATACTTAGAGGCAAATAACTTAACACAGAGTACCCACCATAGGTAATATTATTCACAATTATTATATCTTGGTCCACTTGCCTAGATTCCTAGTTACTTAGGAAGCTGAAGGAGGATAGTTGCAAGTTGAAGGACAGACCAAGGAACTTGGAACAATTCTATTTCAAAGTAATAAATAAAAAGGACTGGGTACATACCTCAATAACAGACTGACACTGACTTAACACACACACACACATACACACTCTTAAATTTAAGACAGCATAAAGCAAACAAGATAAAAAGGGTGGTAATGCAATTTATTGAGGTTTACAAAACTAACACCACAAAAATTTGATGATGTCTTGATAAGTTCAATAATGTTTTTTAGATTAATTTTTTATGTAATGAAATTGAGTGTCAGTGATGAAATTTCCGAACATGGCAACTGCTTTGAAAGGAACGTTTCCAACATCCCAGTCATTCAGCAATTCCACTTTCAAGTGCTTTCTAAAACCAAATTGAAACATAGTTCTAACAAAAAAGACTGCTATAGTTAAATTCATTTTAGCAGTATGGTACCAGCAAAATTGGTGAAGGAATTTCTTAACTTTCATTCTCTTCAAGACCAAATAACTGAACACCAGTATTTACCTGAGGAACTTCCTTCTCTATTTTTCCTAGCACCACAAGACCTGGAGGTGAGAATGCATTTTGCTTTGTTCTTTGTTCTATTAAGACCATTCCATGCTCCTCTTATCTTGGGCCATTTTCAAAACAGCTTACGACTTCACATAAGAATGCTACCCATGTTCTTCTTTGCTACACTTTAGGTTTTAAAAGAGCTTTGTTTACTGTCAGTATCTCATTATTGCATTGATAATCTCAGTATTAATTAAGACAGCCCATTTACCAGTTTGGACTCCCCATTCCTGAGCATTCTTTCTCTAATAATCATTTTATGTGGTCCTTGAATAAAATACATGAATAATTATGATCTGTAATATGCCTCTTCCATATAAATACTTGAGCTCTTTCAGACTGTGTCCTCATTTTTGTAATGTTAGAAATACTCATAATTCATGAAGTAAACCAACATTTGATTTTTACACATGACTCTCTTATTTTTTCTCCTCATTATAATGCAGTCTATGATCAGTGAGAACAGTACTTAGGTCTCTCTGTTCTCTACTTGTCAGAATTCCACTGCGCACATCTACCTGTGCAGCTAAATATGGTGTCAGGAAACCACTGACATGCTGAAATTTTCTCCCTTTTAAAGAAGGGAAGCCCACAACAATGTCACTAATGATGCGCCATAATGATAGTACATGAGCCTTCTGCTCTCTGTCAGTTATTCTTAACTATTTACTTGGCAGGATTAAGAAATTCCCAGAGAAGCAAATCGAATTCAGCAGTGTACTGGATTAATCCACTGATGTTTACAGCTCAATGTGCTGTTAAATGTAGGGCCTAATTATCATGTGCTATCACCCTTTCATTGTGAGGCCACACTTTGGAAACCTAGAATGAGATCCTGATAAAAACAAGGCCAGGATTGACGATGGTATAGGCACTTAGATTTTATTATACTTCATACAGAAAAATAAGTTTGACAGTATATTCAAAGGTGATCCGGAGTAGCCTATCATGTATCAGCATGTTTGGAGGAGACTTCTCATTTTCTAACATGCAATTTGTTTCTCCTAAAATACTATTCTTATGAGGGTCTTGGCCTAGCTCCAATCTTCTATGAATCTGGTAGCAGCAGATTTCAACTCTTATTCAAATATCTCTTCCCTCTTTTGTAACATGTTCTGGCATACTCTCATTCCTATGGTATTAACTATATTGGCCATCTTACATTTTTGTTTGGATGTCTTTTTTTTTTTTTTTTTTGGTCAATGAAGCTCTGATAGAATGTATCTACTTTTGGTTAACATTTTTTTAAGCAAAACAGAAAAAAAGTTCAAGTAATACAGAATTTCAAAAAAAGTAACAGTAAGAACTCAATGCTAGTTACCATATTACATGTTTTTATCTTAGAGGTATTTGCTCGTTACAAAATCAAAGCATAAGTAATGAACAGATAATCAAGCAATGACAGCATAAACTCTTTTTGATGAGCTAAAAGAACTAGTATTGTGGTTATCTATCTTGCACACTTAAACATACAACCATTTATATGTGTATACCTATGTTATTCTTTCCTTTTGAGCACTTTCTTTCCCTTTAGTTATTACAATAACTTGTATACTTTGGATCTTATTACTCTTTTACTTTTTATTACTTTTTTACACTAGAGAGATAATATGATATATATATATATATATATATGTGAGTCTAATTTATTTCACGTATGTATATAGTGTAAAGTTGCCTTTATTTATCTAAAAAAGATTCAAGATCATTCTTTTTATAGCTGAGTAATATTCCATTATATAAAAATACCACATTTTTTCATCCATTTGGCAGTTGATAGGCATTTGAATTGCTCTTACAAGTTGTACAGCTATAAACATGGATGTATGTATATCGCTATGATCTGACATTTTCAATTTTTGTGGAAAAATATGCTGTATTGAATGAGACTTCCAATTCCAGCTTTTTGAGGAACCTCCAGACTGATTTCCACAGTGGTTTCACCAGTCTACATTCCCACCAACAGGGCAAAAGTGTACCTTTCCCCCCACAGCCTCTCCAACATTTGTTATTGGTGGTTTTCTTCATCTATTCTTTCTTTGGTGATATGGAATGTCAGTGTAGTTTTAATTTGCATTTCTCAAATGAACAATGATGTTGAACCTGTCTTCATGTATTTCTTTGCCATTTGTATTTCTTTTTGCCTCTGCTGATGTAGTATATCACATTTATTGATTTTCATTTGTTTTTCTTTTTCCTCTTTTATCAGTCCCAGGGATTGAACTCACGACTGCCTGCTTGCAAGGCAGGTGCTTATGCCGCTGAGCTAAATCCCCAGCCCCGATTTTCATTTGTTAAACCATCCCTGCATCCCTGGAATAAATCCCACTTGGCCATGATGCATAATTTTCTTGATGATTTGATGCATTCTATTTGCTCATACTTTATTGAGAATCTATGCATCCATGTTCATTAGTGAGACTGGCCTATAATTCTCCTTTTTGGTTGGGTCTTCCTCTGCTTTCAGTATCAGAGTCATACTTGCCTCCAGGAATGAGTTAGGGAGAATTGCTTCCCTTTCAATTTCATTGAATAATTTGAGGAATATTGGTATTAAATCTTCTCTAAATTTCTTGTAGACTTTAGATGTGAATCTGTGAAGACCTAGACTCATCTTGGTTGTTCAGTTTTAATCATGTTTTCAATTTCAGTAGCAGATATTAGATTATTCAAAATTATTATGTATTCCTGAGTCAGATTTGGTAATTCATACATTTCTGGAAATATCTCCATTTCCTCTATGTTTTCCTCTCTATGTGAGTAAAGTTTTTCAAAGTAGATATTCATGATCTTTGAATTTCCATGGGATCTTTAGGTATTTTTCTCTTTTCAGTCCTTATTACA